GAGGCATTTTTGTCATATTTTTAGGAGGAGGGAGAATCCTGTGTCCTCAGAAAAATGCTAAACAGAGAAAACCCAGACCATATGCTGAAAGAGACTTTTCAGCTGCTGTTTAAGGGATTTCTGAGTGGCTCTGTTCTGACTCTGCTGAACTTCCTCACTCATATTTCAGGATCTCTGAGCTCAGATGGCTGAATAGGACCTGATGGAAAATTATCAGGCAGAAACACACTGTAGGGTATGAATCCCTTTCCTGCCTGTCTTTACATTGCCTTACCTTTTTTAAGCAGTATTCTTTTGGTAAGATAGTACGTGAGACGTGAATCTACCAGAAACAAGTTTCTGTACGTATTCTCCTTGGAGAAGAGGGGTGGTTTGGAGTATGTAGGATGCAAAAGGATGCAGGAATCCACGGAGAGCTGTGTGAGAGCTGGGGCTGGACTGAGGAATTAATGTGAACATCTGTTCAAAATATTAAGGTGTTTTTTTTTTCATAGATTTTAAGAGTACCTGTGGGCTAGAAGGCTGCTGTGGTGCAGCACCTGACTGGCAAATGGTAAATAGAAAGGTTCACAAGGTTGAGTGACAGGGTACAAGTTACCCTTACATTTCTGAGTATTGTTTTCCACTGTGTTTGGGGTAATCTGGGCCGTGAAAGATGGTTTTGCCATTCCTCTTGACTTGATTTAATTCAAAGTAAGGCAGACAATCTTAGGCCCACATGCGTGCATGCATGCACACATACATATGCAGAGACAAAATCCAGGTTTTTCTAGAGAAGACACAGCTTGCTTGTTTGTTAATAACTAAGCTAAATGAATTCCCCAGACCTGTTTCCATATTTTTTGTACACTGTTTTATTTCTAAGCAGAATCTATGTGAGCCAAGAGTGTTTATATAGTGTTTATATAAGTCTCTTTATTGCTAAAAAGCTATGCGCTTGCAAGATTACATGCAGTAATCTAGAGCCTAATCCTTGGAGTTTTGTTGACCTCTTGTCAGCTCAGAATGGAGCTATATCATGATGTTCAGTTACTGGATGTCATGTTTAAGGGATGTGATTTATTGAAGGTGAAGTTATTTAAAAAGAAGTGAAATGTCTTTTCATATGTTACAATGCCCTGGAGTTCTTCAGTTAACCTGTTGCGCGGTTACACAGTCACTTCCCCGCACCCGCCCCCCAATGTTACAATGCCCTGGAGTTCTTCAGTCAACCTGTTGCGTGGTTACACAGTCACTCCCCCCTCCCCCCACCAAAATCTCTTTCTCCTTTTGCTGTGAGCCTCATATAAGTAACCAGAGAATGGATTGTATAGTTTTCTGTAATGAAGTAACCTGAGCACAGTTTTATTTCAGTTCAACTGAATTAGGTGATTCTAATACCAATATTAAATAAAATCATTCCTGATACATAGCAGTTTCAAAATTACTCCTTTTCAAATGTCACTTGTATCTTCAGAATTATGTCTCTGTGTAATTATATCTCTCCTGAGAGAACTATCTACAGAGAAATATTGTTTAGGCTTTACACTGTTGTTAATTCAGACATATCTATGTATATCCAATCAATTCAGTGATTAGCAAGCCTATCAGCAAATGGTTATTTGGTCCCAGTATGTTTTCAGAACATGTTTCAGTATCTCACATATAAACTGTATGTTTTCAGCGTAAATTATACAAAACCAATATTTTCAGGGGAAAAAAAAAAAAAAGCTGTTAGTGCTATTGTAACCAACCAAGCTATGACATTAATTTATAAAATGGAAATCAAAGTACCTGTTTTATTGGCACAATAAAACTTCTAGAAAAGGCCAGAAGCCAAATGATAGAGTTCTGAAAGTAGGAGACAAAAAAATTAAAGAATATAGTATTTAGATGCATGTTGTCTGAGGGGAATGTTTATATTGTGACATATGTACTAAAATGGCTCAGTCAAGTATGTGTTATTTCCATTTGATTTTATATTCCGTGATGTTTTGCCAGACTTCAGACGTGCACAGTCCTATTTATCCAGAGTGGGATGTTGGATGTGACGTGAGATGAACCAAGGTAGCATGTAAACAGTGAGCTTACAGCAAATTTTTGGGGTTCATCAGACTTTCTTTGCTGGGAATGCTGCCGGGTATATACTAGCGTGGAGCCTGAGTGTGTATTAGAGGAGTTAATCATTGGGGTCTAGGAGCAAAGTCAAAAGGTGTCTTTGATGGTATTTAAATCCTCTAGATGTCTGGTAGTTGTGATTTGTTCACACGTCGTGACTAAACAGCTAGTGGTGAGAAAGGCATTGCCTACAGAGATCGGTTTTGGTTTTCCAGCATGTCTTAGTACGGGCACCCCTATTTCCTGAAGAACTTCTGCTAAATATGTTCCTTAGGGCCTAAGACATTGCCAGTGCCCTTTAGACATCCCTGCTGCACTGTGTTTTTGTGACTTTTGGTATTTTACTCATGAGCAGTATTTGTTACAGGACTTTGTTGCCATACACTTTCGGAAAGCGTGGGTCAGAAATGCTCTGTGGACTGTCTGCACGAAGACAGTATTTGGTTATATATATCTCTATCCCTTCATGTTTTTGTTTTATATGATGACTGCAAGCTGTTTTTTACATGGAGCTGACTAATCTGCTTGTATTAGTATTGCTATAGATATGCATTCCAAAACTAAAAAATGGCCACAAATATGAATTTGAATTTTTGCATGAGGACCTCAAGGCATTTTGCTCTGAATCTTTGAATACTGTGATCTTAAAAGCAAGTGCTTAGCCAAAGATCTGAGGCCTATTTTCTTTTTCTTTGAGTGTTTGGCTCCTGTTCAGGCAACTGGATGAAACAGGCAGATTTCCAGATGCGCTAGGCACTTGGCAGCTTTATCTACCCTTCTTACTCTCACAAGGGTACATTGGTCCTACTTAAAAATATAAGCAGGTTGAGTAGTGCCACAGCAGTATTTGCAGATGCTTGGACACTAGACATGTGAATAAATACAAGGACAATTACTTGGGGGTGTTCTTAATGTTGTTCTGATAATAGTGGTCATTGATAGAAGCTGATAGGTGGGTAGTCATTCTTAGCTGGCAACTTTTCTCTGAGGTTTGGGCACCAGCTACATTATAATAAAAACCTTTGTGGTTTATAGCCCAAGATGCTTTCAGAAGCCACTCTACATGATGGTGGCTGTCCATCCCCTTTAAGGACAATGAGACACTCTTTAACTGAACATTGGTGTCCCCAGCCCCCTTGAGAGACCAGCTCAATCCAGAAAGGACTCATCAGTCATTCCAGAAAACTGCATGGGGCATGCAAGGACAAAACAAAAGGAAAATAAAAATCCTGGTGGAGAAGCAATTTCTGCAGTAGGTAATAAGTACAACTTAGTTGCACCCCTGGAGGACCATGTCTTTTGGTTTGTCTCATTGAACATGTCAGGTTGGTGATTCAGTTGCTGTATGAATGAACATTTAAGTTTATTGTCAGCATTTGTAGCATCATGGTAAAACTTGTAGGAACCTTGGTGCACAGCTGTGTGCCCTCTCCTCCCCACCCCCTCCGCTGCCCCATCACTGCTGAGTTTGATCAGTTTCATATTTCATAGCCCTGGTTGATTTTTGGCTAGTTGTCCGCTATGAGGGCAGAGCAGGAAGAAGTGGTAACTAGAAACCAGATACTATTGCACTAACATCTTCTCTCCAACTGGCCAAGATCACCTGGAGCCTTTCTGTTGCACTGGGTGAGAAGCTGAAGCAACCCCCCCCACCTTAAATACTCATAACTCCTGGGTGTGACTTGCAGAATTCACCCAGTCGCGCTGCTGTCAGGGCATGGCTGCTGCAGCAAGGGAGAGAGAGAGAGAGAGAGAGAGAGAGAGAGATGCTGTGAAAGGGGAAGGTGGAAGTGGGGCGAGGGGGGCCACAGGGGCCGGGCAGGAGGCTGGTGCAGCAGCATGCATGAATCTCCAAGGGAGCAGAGGGGCAGCTCTCCACGAAGGTCATCAGACGTACTGCAGCAACACGGAGACGGCACCAGCAAGCGCACCAGACCTGGCTGGAGTCCCACTTTTTTTTTTCTTTTTTTTTTTTTTTATTTTTTGGGGCCCCCTTCTGTTTTAAG